AATGTCTAGGCATAGTATATAACCTAACAAATGTGGAATATGTAAGTGACTAATGTACTGTAATTCTGTTTCAATTCAGGAGCTATTGTCTACAAAGTTCAAAGATCCAAAGATGACTTTTGACATCTCCAGCTGTCAATTTGTTTACCATTATTCATTTGAGACATATGAGCAGGCTGACATGATGCTCAGAAATGCCTGTGAACCACTTTGCCCAGGAGGCTATTTCATCGGCACAACTCCAGATGGCTTTGAGCTGGTGTAAGTGTTTGTGATCCTTTTTTTTTTTTATTGCTAGATAAAATGCTTAGAAAAATTGGCTGTCTACCAGTGCTTGGGAGCATGATAAACAGCCTCTTGTGATATGTTTGACAGAAGTGTTTATAGAACTTTTCTCTCCCGTTCATTGAAGGACACAGGGAACAGATCGGAGATCATGTACTGTAGGGTAATATCACCACCTGCAGGAGAAGGACGCTAGGCACACAAAAACTAAAGACCAATTACAGCCTAGGGGCGGCCCCTGCCGGTGGCCAAACCCCCCACCTGCTGACAAGTCTCCAGTTTTTTGCCTAGAGTCAGAAGTAAGGAGCTAAGAATTTTTTCTCGGTATTCTTACCGTCTTCTTCCTGATTTTTTCAGAAGATTCTTCTAGTAAGTGTTGTCCGGGCGACAGGCTGGATGTCTCGGATCCTTGAAGTCAGCACTGCTTTCGGCATGGAGGGGGGTGCCTGGTGTGCGGATGGTCGCATCCTCCTGGGGTATGTATGGGATGGGGGGTCCGCTGGCGCGTGCCTGGATACTTTGGCTCCTGCCCTCTCTCCCCTCTCTCCCCTCTCCCTCCCCCTCGGTCACCTCCTGGGGTCACGTACGAGTGTTGTGGCCCTGTGGGTCCTTACCTGGAGGACGGCTCAGGGTGTACCAGATGACTCCGAGCTCTTCGGCGCTCCCGCCAGTTCCTTTTGGGACACACAGGAGTAGGCGTTCCACTAAGGGTTTCCCTTACGTTCCCTTTTTTGATGATTTTGTCTACAAGGAGTGGAAGCGCCCGAGCAAGTCGTTTACCGTTCCAAAACGCTTCTCGGTTCGCATATAGGAAGGCGGAGGCGGTGGCGCGTACTATGTACTAGGTTTCCGGGGCTCTGCTGCGCCCCGTGTTGGCTTCGGCCCTAAATCCTTTTCTCTCCGTTCATTGAAGGACACAGGGCCCGCCCCTCTATGTGTGTGTGTACTCCTGCTTGTTACTAAACTGGAGACTTGTCAGCAGGTGGGGGGTTTGGCCACCGGCAGGGGCCGCCCCTAGGCTGTAATTGGTCTTTAGTTTTTGTGTGCCTAGCGTCCTTCTCCTGCAGGTGGTGATATTACCCTACAGTACATGATCGCCGATCTGTTCCCTGTGTCCTTCAATGAACGAAGAGAAAAGGATTTTACGGTGAGTACCAAAATCCTATTTTTGTAGTTTTTTAAATTGTTAACACTTACTACAATATTGCTTAATGAGATGAGTCACAATTGATTTGGGAACTTTGGAAGGGTTAGAAATAGACAACAGTCGGTGCATTTACAAGTGTTGCTTTGGCAGGTTGTTTTTGATCCTTGCCGTTATACAGACCTAGAAACAATGTTTCTCTTGCATATATTGAAGGACACGCAGGAGATCTTAAATTTGTGATCATTTAGGTTATAGCAACACTTTCGTGAGTAGGGCACTAGGCAAAGAAACAAAAATGCAGCTTAGGGGCAGCCCCTGATAGTGGCCATCCCCCCATCTGCTAGGGACTGCTATGTTTTTCAGCTAGTGTCCAGGGGTGAAGAACTAAGCTGTCTACTGGGAATCTTAGTTACCCTCCCTTTTTTTTTTTTGCAGGGAATCCTTACATTTATACTCTAATTTTTTTTTAAAATTTTTTTTTTTTTTGTTTCCTCAAGACCTTCTGTCATCAACTGAGCTGGGTGGCAGGCTCAGTAATCCCCCAAGCTCCACCAACTAGCACATGCTGTGCAGGCCTTATTCAGGATTTGGGGGGTGGGGTCCCGTGATTTAGCTTAACACTTCGCAAACTTCTCACAGTCCAATATGTTTGAGAAAACTTTTATCAAGAAATGAGCTGTTACTACTGTATATTCAGTGATGTCTTGCCTTCATATAGTGCTGTCACTTTCTATAGAGGATGTATCATTGTTAAGGCTGATGTAGTGTACGCTTGGGAATTCCTTCCAAAATGTTTTTTTTTTCTGCTCGATCCTGCTTTTGCAACCTACCACAGCTGCAAGACTAGTCTGTCAACCATTAGGGGACTAGACTCATAAGAAAGGATCCAATCACTTGGCGGGTAAGAGTACTCATCTACCACAACACTCTTTGTGCCCAAGATGAGTTATTCTTGTTGTCCCCTGGCTTCCCCCTCTAGGCAGATTCAGGCAAGAGTTCACTGCAGCCACTTCCATGTGCCCTCTTGTCCTCTTCGGCATAGAGATGCACCCAAAGTGGGCAGATGTTGGTTAGCCCTTGTGAACACCTGGTTGGGTACCATCTTGGTAACCTGGGTACAGATTGTGGCTTCAGGGGGGCTACAGTCTAGAGTTTTTTTTTTTTTAATTCTCTGCCCCCTACCTCCTTCCTATCCTCCTAACAAGCCTGTATCTCCGTTCAGACTATACGCACCCCCAGCCACTCTTGCAGTTCTTTTTGGAACAAGAATTATTTCACATGTTCATTCGGTGGATGGGTTTTTTCTCTAACCCTTTCACTGTCCCCAAATCCAGTGGTGGTGTCCACCCCATCTGGGGCCTAGAGAACCCTATGGACCAGACTATTCCTCCTGGGATCCCATGAGTCTGCTGCATCCCTTCTCCATCAGGGAGATTTTCTTGCCCCTGGGGGCATCAAGGATATATCTGCGTGTCCTCATTTTTCCTCAACACATCAACTCTTTATCTTGCTGTAACCCAGTTTCAGGAGATTTATGATCTCCATTGTGTCTTGCAATGAACGCAGAGAAAAGGATTTTACGGTGAGAACAAAAACTCTATTTTTAAAGCGGGTATTTGTTAGTATAGAGTGATAGAAGTCTTAAAAGAAGCAGGTGTCTTGCTGTCCTGCTGTGTACTGGATATTGACCCTCCCACTGGCTAACCAAGAAGTTATGAAACAAACAAAAAAAAAAAGAGAATAAAATCAGACCAAATGGATACTTTTTAGGGCTGCGGAAATTAACGATTAATCCTTCGATTAATCGTTAATTTTTTTGATCGCTCAAAATTATTTTGATCGGTACTCACCTCTCCGCCGGCTTCCGGGTCTTCCGTCGGAGTTCCGGTGACGTCACGGACATCGACGTCACCGGACTCCTCCCCGCTTCCCCAAGTGGCTCTGTCGGCTAACGAAGGGAAGGGGGGAGAAGTCTGGTGACGTCACTGGACTCCTCCCCCTTCCCTTCGTTACCCGATGCAGCCACTTGAGCCGGTGAGTACACATCCCAACTCTCCCGGCCGCCCTCATGTACAAATACAATGCAGTGTTAAGACCTCCAAACTGTGTACACCTCTTTGCCATACATAATTGAGTTAAAGCCTTCTATTTAAATATCTATTATTTGCCCAAGTGAACACAAAGGTGAAGGAGAGAGAGGGTTATGGACACTATCACATGGGAACGATCCAATAAAGGGACAGTAGGCCCCACTGTTTAATCACAAACTGGAAACACCTGATATCAGAGGCGGCTCTCTAATTAGGCGAGTTAGGCGGTCGCCTAAGGCCTCGCGCTCACGAGGGCCTCGCGGCCGCCTAGCTCGCCTCTGAAGCTTCAACTAATCTGCCTCTGGTAAGTCCGCCCCGGGGTCGGGAGGGAGCAGCCATTTCCTCACGGGGAGAATGTGCGCCGGCAATTCCCCTGCAGCCTCCACAACGCAACCCCCCTCCCCTTTCCTGGATCTGTCTGAAGAGAGAGGGAGAAGCTGCGCGGCGGGACTTCAGACGCTGCTTCTCCCTCTGGTACTGACGGAACTACTTCCGCCACTTCACTTCATCCTTTCCTGCAGAGGAGAGAGCCCGCCCGGCGTATCGTGAGGATGCAGAGGCTTCCGCTCCTGCAGCAGCCAGCGGTGACATCGTAGGAGGGCAAGGATGAGGCAGATACAGGCAGTGGGAAACCGGGAGCTGACCCCTTGATCAGGAGCAGTGCCTGCATGGAGTCCAGGTCAGTGAAGCACCCTTCTTTTTTTTTTTTCTTTTTGCACTTTGTACAGTATATAAAAAAATACAGGGTAGCAAAAAAAAAAGAAATTCAGTGTCTAAGGGCTTGTTCACACAAATTGCAATGCGTTCCAGAGCGGTAGCTGCTGGAATGCACCGCAATCGCTTACAAAACTTCCCTGTGCGTCCTGGGGCGGGAGGGGGCATGGTGGTGCATTGAATTCAATAGCACTGCTTCCGCGCCCCCCCGGCTGCAGTGCGACAATCGCATGGCAAAACATTGCCTGCGTTCCGTTCCACTGCAAAAGCAAAAAAATAGAGCATGCAGCACTTTTTACGTTTGCAGTTGAACAGAATGCAGGCAATGTTTTGCCATGCGTCCGATCACACTACGGGAGGGGAGACGTGGCTGCAGTGCCATTGACTTCAATGCACCACCATGCCCCCTCCCGCCCCAGAACACACAGGGAAGTTTTGTAAGCGATTGCGGTGCGTTCCAGCAGCTACCGTTCTGGAAAGCACCGTAATTGGTGTGAACAAGCCCCAAGAGCCCAGTCCCACCATAAGGTGTGCGTTCGGCCTCTGGAATGACCCGGCAACCCGGCCGGGTCACTTTGTTTTGGGACGGGAGGGGGTGGTGGTGCATTGAACTCAATGGCACCGCAGCCACGCCCCTCGCCCGCAGTGTGATCTCCGGCACCCAAACGTGTGACACATTAGTGCATGCGTTCGCGTCTAGTGCGATCTGCCAAAATGCTGCAAGCACTATTTTGTGCAGATTGCACTGGATCGGAACGCAGACACTAATGTGTCATGCATTTGGGTGCCGCAATCGCACTGCGGCCAGGGGGCGTGGCTGCGGTGCCATTGACTTCAATGCACCGACACCCCCCCTCCCACCGCAGAACGCAGGGGTAAGTTTTGTGCGTGATTGCGGTGCGTTCCAGCAGCTACTGCCCTTGAACGCAGTGTAATTGGTGTGAACAAGCCCTAAGGGCCCAGTCCCAGCCTAAGGAGTGCGTTCGGCCTCTGGGATGCACTGGAATGCAACCCGGCCGGCTCACTTTG